CCAATAATTCAACAACGAACGTGAAGTCGATCAGATTTCGATGCCCTTCATGAACGGGGCTCAAGTTGTCCACCGCCACCCCTCCTCCATAGCCTGAGCTCTTCTTTCTCTGTTGAGACCTTTTGGCATAGCATAGCAAGGTTTCACTTTGAGCATGCGGAGCGCTTCTTTTTTGTCGAGGCCTTTGTTTACCTTGTTTTCACTTTGAGAATGCGGAGCGCTTCTTCTTTGTCAAGGCCTTTGGTGAGGCTACACTTTACAAAGGGGGAGCACTTTCTCTTAGTCGAGGCCTTTGGTGAGGCACGTTGAGCATGTGGAGCGCTTTGGCTTGTTCGGAAGGCCTCTCTTTGGTGGCGCTAATGTTTTTGAGCAGTTGGCTTTCATTCGAGCCTGTACCATATGTCACGCCTTCGGCGTCCAATAAATCACGATTGACACCGCCAGGGTCCAAAGGAGAGTGCGAGCCCTCACATGGAAGGGCAGTCAGTGATCGTGGTTGAATGTTATTTTCATCCGGTTTGGTCCGAGAGAGGAAGGTGGTCGAGAAGAAACTTGGGTCTACGTCGGAGAAGGTCAAGGTAGTTATGAACAGGAATCAGCAATGGAATATGTCGGTTCTGGCAGAGGCAGTTTTGAAAAGGAGCGCGGATGGGGATGGGGCAAGCCTACATGGAAATACGTAGGGCAGGGCCTTGGGTCTTATGAACAAAAGTCCTCTCTGAACTATGTTGGCGCAGGCCGAGGCTCGTATGACAAGGAGACGACAATTCTCAAAAAGTCCTTCTGGGAAGTCGCCACCGCCAGCCCCGATGCCGCGCTTCTGAAAATAGCACAGCAGTATGCAGCTGCGGAATTGGTTTTTGATGTGTTTCAGTGCTTCGTACTGTGGTGGCTGATCGAGGAAAAGAATGCGCAGCTCAAAGAAGAGAACTGGCAAGGTAAGCTCATGTGTGATTTTCTCAATCTCATCCACAGTCTTTGACCTGCTGCTCCTCAAGGGGCCAGCTGCGATAAGTAAGTTGATAAGTGGAGATGCAGGTGCCGTAGCCAGTCTCCTTACAGACAAGAGCTCAGAAAGAGGGCCGATGAAAGTACCTCAGCCAGAATGATGCAGCCTCGGCCCTCAACTGGAGGACAGGGTGTTGCGCCCGGACCTTCCACATCTTGAAAATCTGCAGAGCGGCTTCGCATGTGTTAAGGATCGATTTCAGCGGATAGCGGTCCCGCAGGTTCTGAGTGCGATATCATGATAGGATCGTAGAATTGCAGACTGGAGTAGGATGCCGTAAGAATGTATGATACGTCTGGAAACATGTTTTTGCATCTGTGCTTGGCTGACCGGCTGCGGTGCGGAGCAGAAGCAGCAGGGCCAAGTTGCTCCGTTGGCAATCTAGGATTTAGGTCATGATTGGGAGCTTCCCCTGCATATTATTCAGACATGTCACATGCCATGTCCAACAGATGCTTGTGACTCCACAGTTCTCCGAAGCACAACGCAAAGTGGAAGATCCACACTAATGAGTCATTTAAGCATAGCACAGGTACAGTTAGACTTATAGCAACATGACACTCACGAGTCCAATGGGAAAGGTTCTGATTCATGAACATTCATGACTATTGACATTATGAATTAAACACCGATAGACCGATAGAAATGCTTACTTGGATATACACGACTTTGTACATATTCTAGACGTGCGTAATATTCTATGTGCATGCGCTTCTGTTGATTTCTACTACAGGTAGCATATTTCCTGGAAAAAAACCCAGCCCGAGGTCCAATCTGCGGGCATCGAAGCGGGCGAGGTGCGCGGCCTGCAGGTCAAAAGCGCGCCACGGCCAAGCAGCAGGGATGGAGAGCAGGAGGTGCTGTCAGCCATCGGCGATAAGACTTCCAATCATGGCCAACATAATCAGTGTTTGTGATTGCCAACCCATGATTCATGATGATAACTTAATGTTGCTACATATTATTCATTGTAAAGACCCTACCATCAGACAACTCGGTCCCAGACAGATTTTTCTTTTCCTTTTCTCTTTATGTTTCAAGAGGTTTGCCCAATATCGGGATAGCATTTGTTCGCAAGAACATGCGAATGAGCTTGGCTCAGCAACGGAGTATGGTGCTGCCATGACATGCAAAGAACAACAGTGAAGTACAGCTGTTTCAATGAACCTTCGAAACAAGCCAGGTAGAATTATAGTTATATATAGGTTGCATGGTTCCATCATAAGCTTGCAACTTCATTGTATTACTATGCCAGAACTATCTTCTCCGTATTTTGTTCGTTTGCCTTTTTCTTGGCCTTTGCAGAGGCGGGAATGGGATGGGCACTGTCGACGTTAGATGGGTGATCAACGAACATCGACACCTTCTGCATGGCACATGCCCCCAAGCTACTAGGAGCAAAGGGCATCGCTACTAGGAGCAAGGACGCTACTAAGAACTCCTGGCCGTACTACTAGGAGCAAATAGCTACGCACGGTGGAGGCCATCGCCACAAAGCGTAGACACCACCATAGCACCGAACGCCGGGGGCACCGAAGGCCGGGATCGCTGCAGGTAGCCCGAAGAGTCTACCAGGTCAAGCTCCAATCGCCTATCGTTTCGAAGTCCGATATGTTTCCTGTGAAAGCAACCACTTAAGGTTCACCCAACCACTTTCAGTGGATTCCTGTCTGCCATGGGGATTCGACGTCTTTTTCTGTGCTTTGAGGGATTTGCATGGATCCGTGTTCAAGCACCTCCAGCGCTAGCTCCAAGGACGGGGCCGAAACCTCGCGTGGAGACCGAAATCGGGCGCTTTGTTCGGAACCTGCATGGTTTTGCATCGCCCAGCTGTTGAGAATGCGGGGCTGTTTCTCCAGTCAGCCGGTGAGCCGTGTCAAAACGCTCAGTCTGCCCTTTGCTCTTGTAAGGCCTCGAGACATTCGGAATTTGCAGAATTCCATCTGTGCATGGCTTGCAGTAGGATTCGGATTGTTCCTCCAACCGACCAGTACTTGTTGGAAGATTGTGAACATACAACATTCGTTGATCCGATCCCTTGAAGTTTGTGAGATGCATCATGCTTTTGCTTGCCGGACAATTTAAGTTGCTTCTCAAAAGATACATTTCGATCAGAAGTCTATTCCGCTGTGCCCCGTCGTGGCGCTGCGAAAAGAACCCGGTCGGCCGCCCTCTTCGTCACAGGATCCTGCCAAGATGGGGAAGGACTCCCGGGAGCGACGAACACATCGGCGGCAAAACGATCCTTCCAGACCTGTTGGGGAGAATCGTGATCCCAATCATGGCCTCCAACTAGCGTTGGCCTCCAATGGTCTATTTTTTTATTCCCCAAACAGTTTACTGTTAGGGGTTCTCAATTCTTTCTTAAGATGTGTCCGCCCTTTGTGTCACTGCTGGTGTCCGCCCTTTTCCGCTGGCCATGTAGCATTTCTATTCATTTGTCTCCCAGGTCTGTCCGTGCTGGTGTCTGCCCTTTTCCGCTGGCCATGTAGCATTTCTATCTCCCAGGTTTGTCACTGCTGGTGTCCGCCCTTTTCCGCTGGCCATGTAGCATTTCTATTTGTCCTCGCAAGCCTTTGCATTTGTCTCCCAGCTCTAGACTGCTGTATCCGCCTCTGCCTAGCAATCCTTTATTTTTCACCCAGCTCTGGGCTGCAAGTCGCTTGCAACCTTTCGTCGCAAGCTTTAGTTGCAGAGTGTTCCGATTTGGAAAAGCACAAACTGTTTGGAGTCCACGGTGGTGTAAATTGTTTCTCACGGAGCAGTAATTGACGCCAAATAGTGCATCATTAGCATCATGAGGGTCTCAGCAGGCTATTTGGACAGTCTTTCGACAAGGGGTGGGATTTCACGTCGAGGACAGGAAAGGGGGGCGCAACGTGACAGGAAAAGAGGTCGGGAGCTCACCAGGGAAGGTCTCTCAGCCCTTTGTTTTCTCGTGGCCAATAAGAGTGAAAGGGGAGACCCGTAGAGGACAGGAGAGGGAATAGAAGGCAGTCAGAAACTTTGAGTCCCGTTTTACGGTGCAGAGGGCTGTTAACTGTTAACTAAATGAAAACAGGGCACCCCTATGCACCCCTTAGAGCTATGGATGTCCATGTGAGTTCGGCTTTGGTACGGATCGAAGTCTATCCCACGCACAGTAAGAGTGGATGGGGGTTGGCCCAAGGTGTTGCGTGTATCGGATCCAGCAGATCCAGGTTTAAAGCAGATCCAGGGAGTCTTGCACCGCCCGCTTCACTATACTGCGGCCGCTATTTTGCTCTGCAACACAGGAAGACACTTACAGGCTGACCAGGTGTGTCTTGACCCTCAATGGGAGACTTTCCGCCTCTGCGGGCTATTTCCCCATGCCTGAAAACAGTTCTAGTGCGCTGTCAAATTCACCCCATAGCCACATTGATGTTTTCTTACGCAGGCTGGCTTTCGTCCCCTCCCTTTTCAGGTATATATATATATATACTCTACATACTTAGAAGTGCGAGGTGGTTGGGGTGCAGATTCTTCCCTCAGCGTCAAGTCAGTTGCAATCGGGGCAGGGTCAAATGTGGACCCAGGGCAATGGTGGAAATCCACTGGGTAGTGACGGTGAGAGATCCACTGCGGGGTTGCAACGGTTTTGGAGCCCGTGTTGCTAGTAGCTTCTTTTTACTAGTAGTGTTGGCCTCCAACCTAATAGGGATGGCCTCCACCTAATAGTTTCTTGCGATTCATTTTGGAACTTGTGCATTTCACCCGTTCTTTGGTTTGACCAAAATTCAACTTTGGTTGTCTACTTGACCCCTCCGATCTCTCACAGCGTGTTTTCACTCGCTGCTTCTCTCCCCGCGCAGGAGCACCGCCCACGCCGGCAGAAGGGAACGCGCGTGTTGCTCGAAGCCGACGCGACGGTGTTGCTCAGCTGCGATGGATCGGGTGATCGTTGGGGCTGAAACCATGGGAAGTTTGCTGCATCCTTATTGTTAAAAAAACAATGGAAGGGCTGAAGAAGGCACCTTTTTCAACTGGCATTGTGAAAATGTGGGATTTATCATCCGGTGCAGGTTTTCGAGCTGGTGATGAAAGTCCTTGCATTGGAACCTGCGAACATATCTCGTCCCCAACCGCAAGTCAGTTAAATCAACGGATCAACCTGCGCTTTGAAAGTGCACCATTTTCCAGAATGGCATATCCTCACCATGAGAAGACTAATTTAGTATTCAAGCACCTTTGATTGAAAATTGCCATAGTACAGAGCCTGCTGAGTGGTGGCGGAGTTTAAATTAAGCCTGCAACACACTCCTCCACACAAATCCGACAGGACATGTGTTGATGGCACGAATGCCTCCTCGAGAAAAGTCTTGAACAGATTACTGTCTGATGACGACTTCTATATACATATTTAATGGGTTAATCCTGTGATTGTTTCCTTTTGATAGCTAAAGGAATAGTAATGATAAGAACCATCATCCACCGAACCAGTGAATACAGACCTACTTCACATGATCGTCATTCTGCAAAACCGTGCGAACTGCTCCTCTCAGGGTGTTTGGCTGGGGCCGACCAAGGTACCCCTTAAAAGAGCTTCTGGATCAGAAGGTGGAAAGCTTCAAGGAAATCCTCCCACCAATGGTGAAATTGTTTCAGGGGATCGATGGCGAACAAATGCTGGAGCTCGCAGACTTCTTTGTTCACGTGGTGGAGACGACCATGGACACCTTCTGGGTCGATGGTCTACATCTGTACCACGACCTGGCAAAGCGTCGTGAAGACCAAGCGGCCTGGTCCGGCCTAGCCGACATGGATCTCATTCAGCAAGTCTTGGCCCATCCGCAAGAGGCCCGGACTTTTGTCGATCGAGTTCTTCACGAGACCCTAAAATGGTTGACCTGGTGTTGTAGTGTAAAATCCATTAGTAAGACAATGGTTGTTTGGTAAAGGCTATTAAGTTATTGGTGGTTGGAAGCCTAGGCAAAAGTTGGTGATCATACCGTGATTCTTTTCCCCAAAAGCTGGTAGGACACCTTATGAGCCCTCACGATGGAGCTGAGACCAAACGGTGCTGATGAAGCCTCTTTCACCGGTGCCTATGGTTTAGGTAAGCCTCCGGCTGCAGCGGTCTCAGGAGATGAAGGACCTGATGGCTATAGCCAAGACTTGCCTTCAAGGACCCAAGTTTCGGGTGACGCCCGAGGAGTTCAACGAGTTGGAACAGCTCAACAGCTTTCAGCAGCTGCTCTACAAGGTCGCGCAACAACACTGGGGTGGTGAGTTGGGCCACGGAAGAACCACTCAGAATGCCTTTTTTGGCAGAACCCGGTTGGACCAGTGATGGGTGGCTCAAAAAGAACTGCGACCCAAGGACCTGCAGGTTTGGAATGGCGCATGTGTTGAAACATGTTGAAACCAAATCGGTCCCACAGCACGAATGTTCCTGAGATATATTGTGAGATCTGCTTCCTTCCTGGGATAAAGGGCCAATCTGGTGAAAGGTGTCTTCCCCCTGGACTTGGGACTTTTTGCTCTACGACTTCTCCACTGCAGACAGGTGCAAGAGCATCAGCAGCGGGAGGCTTGCCCCGACTCGCTCTACGATCCGATCGAAGGATCTCCCGTTTGATCGAAGGGGTCGCACTGCGGCGGACGCCGGTCGCCGGTTTGGGTCATTTCTTGTCTTGACCGGCCTGTTCGGTCATCCCTTCGGCAAGATCCTAAATCCAACCACGGGGTGTCCGTGTTTGGTTTCTTCACGGAGGTGAGTGCGTAGGTGAGACCGATCTCTTCCGACCCCCTGAAAAGTGAAGCTTCTAAGGGTCAGACTGTACCTGCCAGTGGCACTACGTGGTGTCCTTTGTCCGCTATCCTTCACTGGATGACTGGATACCAATTGGTTCACCTTCCTTGGAAGCTGGAAAGCTAAAAAGACTTCTTCTCAACTTCATGGCCGAAGGAAGGGCACCCTGTTCATGAAGCACTTCAATGAGGGAACGAGGGAGCCAAGTCGAAGAACTCTGTCCTCATACCTCTCAACCTAGACCTAGACCGGCTGATCGATTGGCTGCTTTCCATGCTTGAGGTGGAACAGGGAGAAGCCAAGGCAGGTGGGTTGCCTACGGTTGGTTCGCTTCTGGTCGGGGAAAGTCAGCATTGGTTCACTTCTGTTTGGCGCATCCAGTGTTGGGATTATGAGTGTTTGGATTACATATATGATATAATGTACTTGGGTTCTGTACAATGTGTTTGACGCTGCTGAAAAAGCCAAAGTCCTGCCACTTCCAACTGCAAATTCTGAAGTTGAACAAGTCGCTAGCAGTGCCACTTGTGCAGGGTTTCAGAGTATAAGACAAGCAAGTTCAGTCCATCATCCACAAGTACACAAACAGGAAAACCACTGGACATGAATGCAAACATTTCTTTTGAAAGGAAGCACCGCTGGAAGTACAGCACTGGTGCGAACGCATGGTACGCTAGACTATTCCTATTTCCACAAAGAGCACCCTGCAAGTCATGATTGGCTGCTGAAACAACATTTCCCTAGCTCCTGCACCACAGGAAGTGGCAGAAGTGCCGACCCCAGCTCAAGTCAGTTTGTGCCAGCAAGGATTGTGAAAAATGTATGTGAAGGGTTCTTGTTGAGGACTAAGGGCTGTAGAAATCATCCTGAATCGTCAGCGGAACGCATTGCACTAAACTATACAAGCTTCCAAACAAGAGCACCCTGCAAGTCATTTAGAAAAACCGTTGCCAAGGCTCCTGCTGTGGCAGCTGTGCCGGCTGTGCCGACCCCAGCGCAAGTCATTCTCAAAAGTGGATATGAAGGCTTCTTGATGAGGGCTAAGGCTTTTTCGCCGTGGTAACCATCCTGAATCAAATGCTTCCAAAAAGAGCACCCTGCAAGTCATTTGAAAAAACCCTTGCCAACGCTCCTGCTGTGGCAGCTGTGCCGGCTGTGCCGACCCCAGCTCAAGTCATTCTCAAAAGCTGATATGAAGGCTTCTTGTTGAGGACTAAGGCTTTTTCGCCGTGGTAGTCATCCTGAATCGTCAGTGGAACACATTGTGCCAAATTACACATGCTTCCAAAAAGAGCACCCTGCAAGTCATTTTGACAAAACGCCTTGCCAAGGTGCCTCCTGTGGCGGCTGTGCCGACCCCAGCTCAAGTCATTCTCAACCATGGATATGAAGGCTTCTTGTTGAGGACTAAGGCTTTTTCGCCGTGGAAGTCATCCTGAATCGTCAGTGGAACACATTGTTTGCTAAACTTCACATGCTTCCTTGGGCTTGTCTCCCAGGCGCTGGCAGATGAGACGCCCATTGTGGCCAACTCACCGGTGCAAGATGGCGCAGTTCGCGCCATCTATGCCGGGGTGCACCAGGTAGCCGGCCTCCAGTCACCGTGGACAAATAAGATATCTTGGACATAGATTGGAATTGCTTTAAGCCAGCGGCATCAGGAAGTGAACATACTTAGTCGAAAGCACGGTGAGAAACCAGTAAGTCATGAGCTATTGCGCATGTGGTTTCTTTGTGCAGGCTCCCCTGCTGCACCCAGCCCTGACCTCAAATCACCTCGTGCAGTGAAATGGGAAGCTCTTGGACAGTGTGACTGCAAAACTGACACCCATCAGGATAGGTCGTTGGCCATAGGTCGTTTGAAGATTGCCTTTCAAACGCCACTGTTTGAACCACCCCTATAGAGTACTGGCGGTTCTGTTGTGTTGACACTGACCCCATTTGGGCGTGCGGTACAGGGCGCTCAGGCAGGGATAGAGGGTGGCAGGGTGAGGAGATTGGCAACAATGATGATTTTGATATATGTTTGATCACACGTTCATGAGTCATTATTCATTATCATCACATGATTCAGATCAATCAATGCAACAATTGTTATTGCTTGAAAATGATCTACAAGCGCACAGAACTTCAGCCCTGGGGACGGATAACATGAGTTTTCTGGTGCTTCCTTTCGGGGGAACATAATTTAAAGCGGACTGGAACTCAAAAGCCAAGTGAACATGTGCACATGGGAAACACTGGAACACATTGCGCTAAACTACACATGTTTCCAAGAAGAGCATCCTGCAAGCTATTCGGAAACAAATAAAACAAAAAAACTTGCCAAGGCGCCTCCTGTGCCGGCTGTGTGGACCCCAGCTCAAGTCAGTTTGCGCCAGCAAGGATTTTCAAACATGGATGAAGGCTTCTTGTTGAGGAATAAGGCTGTTGCGCCGTGAAGTCACATTTGCAAAAAAGATCATTGCCAAACAGCCAAGTGAACCTGTGCGGGCTGGATCTTTTTTTGGGGAGAAAATTATTTTCAAAAAGGCAAATGCTAGAAACTAAAGATCGACATTACAACAACACCTCTGCATATCGTTTTTCCATGGTTTTTCCTGCGCAGGGGCCAGTGGCTGTGGCAGACGCGGTTACGCCAATCCAATATGGCGGAGTTCCAATCGTTGCCGTTACAGCCATGATGGCTGAAACCTGAGCAGAAACGGTAGGTGCCCCTTTCCACGTGGTGGAGAACTTTTTAAAGCTTTGCCAAATAGTTGGATTAGTTGGGTACCTTTCTCGTTCTGCTCGTGGCTTTGGTTGTTGCTCATGTTGCACGCGGAGCCCGCCGTCATTTTGTGCCGCCACAAGCAGTGTGGATGCAGCCTTGCTGCGGGATGAAGTGGCAGGCTCTCAGGGAGAGGAGAGTGCAGGTTTCGAGAAACCAGTTCTAATTCTTTGAGAATTGCTCTTAGAAACGGAATTTTCAGAAACTTACAGTATTTGGTTGTAAGTTGTGAGCCAAAAGCCTGCCCCAAACCATGATCTGGCTTGTGGACCAGTGCTCCCGAATGGCAAGAAACAATACAGTTTTTGTACCGACACTGGGCAGTTTTGGCATCGTGATCCACCTTTCCACGTGAATGCACCCTATCAAAGTTCCAACTTACCTTGAAACCAATAGCGATGGCCTCCACCCTAGTAGCGATGGTCTCCAACCTAGAAGCAATGGCCTCCAGCCTAATAGCCATGGCCTCCAACCTAGTAGCAATGGCCTCCAACCTAATAGCGATGGCCAAATTCCTACTTCCCTTGAAAGTATTCAATCTGATAGACTACCTGAACTTGCTTTGAAAACGATTGAACGTCACGAGAAAATGCGGCAGTACCAGAGAGTTCATGGAGACAGTAGTGTCTTAAACTCAGTGCAGTTTCATATATTTCAACCTGGACCTGTGCCACAACCTGTGTGAGGGCGCAACGTTCATGGGACCAAGACACTTGTGCATGACCTTGGGAGCTTTGACTGAACGGTACCCCCTTCGGAAGAGCTCCCTTTTGGCACGTCGTTGGCACACGGAATGACAGGCCATGAGGCTCTTGGGGCGGATGTTCCTTGACAGAGGGTGGGGGGTAGCTATGGAATTGAGTCCTAGGGCAGGAAGTTTGCCGAATTTTAAAGAACCGCATCCGGTATACATGTCTATGCATACACACCTGCCAGGTATCAAGCCTGCCAGGTATTAATATCTGGTCGCGTTTTTAATGCTTGCTTTCCATCGATTCGACAGTTCTGCTTAGGGGAACAGGTGACAGGTCTATCTTGTGGAGAGGTGACAGGAATACACGTGGTGCGAGGAAGGTTGTTGACTCTGTCTTTCCACCTCCCACTGTCTTTTGCATCGAGAACAATTGATGATGCCTTCTTGGGGGGTATTGTAAATATATTTGTTTCTTTTGGTGGCGTGTGTGACCCAAGTAGGTTTGACAATCAGCTTCAGTGACAGCAGCGAACATTTCCCCGCGACCGTCCGACGAGAGCGTGGGGGAAATTGTAAGGTAGCATGAGTCAAGGATGTTTGACGTTTCCACTGCATGTTTGAGTCAAGGAAGACAGAACGCGAACACTGGCACTTCAAGAACTTGCCCACACCTTGACTCAGTAGCAGAGGAACATCGTCTTCCCAGGGGCAATTTGCCATGTTAAGGGAGTCAGAGTGTATGTGTTCAGTTGCGACTTGTGCAACATCTCATTGAAACCAGCGGTTTAAGCGCGTTTTGGGGCATGGTTTCAATCGCAGTGGCACGACTGCGAACCGGTGAGACTGTTTGGCGTCCGTTCGGTGGGCAGCTAATAGCTTTTTGTTACCACTAGTAAGGCACTTGTTACTACTAGCGTGGCACTTGTTACTACTAGTAACAAGGACATGGTGCAACCTTGTTGACCGCATTTGAGGCCTTTTTTTGGCGGCAAAAGCACCAGGGTCTCAAGGCGGGGGTCTTGATGCGCAGCCGGGGACGGCAAGGCTCGTGCTCGCAGCCTGTAGGTGGAGTGCTAGAAGAGAAGAATATCATACATACTCTCCATGAAGTAATCTTACTAGTAGGAATGCCCTTGTTGCTAGTAATGTCCTTGTTACTAGCAGCGATGCCCTCGTTACTAGTAGCTTCTAGCTACTATGCAATGGCAAAAGTTTTCTTTGCATCTCCTCTATAATAAAAGCGGAAAACCCTTCCGCAAAGGTGAAAGGGCCTTCGAATTGGATCTTTGAGATTTGGAACGACAGAACTTTTGAGCCGATCCCAGGTGACCTCGGTATTCTGCCGTTCTCACCCCCCATAAGGATCCTTGGGATCAAAGAGTCTGTCCCGCCCAACAAGTCGTTGCAATTCGGAGATATTTGGCAGCCTAATGGGGCATGAGCCACTCACTTCTCGCGTTGTTGCAAGAACCAGGAAAAGTTTTGCTAGCTACTAGGCTTCTTCAGGAAGCTTGGGAATGGCCACCGTTTGGTTCGCCACACAACCTTTTAAACGCGAACCACCACACAACCTTGTTCCCGAGAGCGCCTGAGTGAGGGGTTCTTCTAAAAAACGCAGGTGCGCTACATATCATCAAAACTTGCATCTGCACATTTCCAGAGTTTCATATTCCACGCCAGTGCGTCATCACATCTGCGCATCTTTGCATCTCGCATCTTGACATCCGTACATATTCAGACCTGCACACCTTCGCATCTGCACATCTCTCTGTCTCTCTCTTATCTATCTATCTATCTATCTAGCTAGCTAGCTTTGTTTATTTATTGCTTCTTTCCGTTAATTTTTTTTTCTCTTTTTTTTTTTTTTCTCTCTCTCTCTCTCTCTCTTCTTTTCTTTTTTTTCTCTCTCTCTCTCTCTCTTTTGTTTTTCTCTCTCTCTCTCTCTCTGTCCCTCTGTCAAGTGCACAAACATCACCTTGGAAACATCTTTGAGGCAGGAGCTACTACATCCACAGTTTTCAAAACACACACACACACGCACACCTACAAACCTGCATAAACGTCGACTGGAAGATCTCTTGGGGGCAAGACCTGAATCCACACCCTTTCTACAAAAACAAATAGATCTGCGTCAACGTCACCTTCAAAACATCTGTGGGGCAGGACCTGAATCCACGCATTCTGCTGGAAAAATGCACTTGGAAACACGTTTGGAACAGGACTTAAATGCATACATGTTATTGCAAAAGCATACAAAACTCGACTGGAAGACATCTCACGTTTATGTAAAAACGCATGCAAGCCTACATGAACATCAACTGGAAGACATCTTTGCTTCCTTCCTCCTGTGAACATCCTTTTCATCCCATCTTGTTCTCACTCCTCTTTTTCGCTTTCTCTCTCACCATCTCGCAACTCTCTTTGCTTTACCGTTTCATCGTAATGCAGGCATACCTTCCACCAAAGTAACTCTACACCTCAACTCTCTCGGGCCATCCGTCGTTTAGTTGTTCCAATATGGGGTCCTGGCATCTCTGGCCAGAGTAGCTTCTTGTTACTAGTAGTAAGGCACTTGTTCCTAGTAGCGATGCACTTGTTCCTAGTAGCTTCTTGCTACTAGTAAGAATGCTCCTAGTAGTAAGGCCAGGAGCGCCCCTAGTAGCGTCCCTTCCCAGTGGGGTCCCTTCCCAGCTCACCGAAATGCGCCACATTCTGGCGACAGAATCGGCCCTGCCGTGGGCCGCTGGAGATTTCAAAGCACCTCGGCGAAGTTGGCATGTTCCGGAGTGGGCACCAGGATCATCGTTGTTTGAAACATGTCCTTGAGTCCTTGAGGCGGTTCGTTCTTTTAGTTTCTACAACTTTTTTAATTGCAGGGCAAAGGACATTAGAGTGTGGGTGGGCGAAACAGAATCAACTCATGCTTGTCAAGTAGAAGATAGACCGTGAGGCAACCACTTGGGTGATGCGACAGTTGTAAGGCTTACACTCTCACTGATTAACATGGAAGTGGAAAACATCCCGTTTGTAAAGGAAAGTACTCTTTCAAGAGACCATCTCTTCCACTTCCATCCTTTGAAGAAGTGTATCGGATGATTCTGGATGAACGCAGAGTTTGACCCTTTTCACCTGATCGTTTTTTCTTGCCCCAGATTCCGCCGCAACATCGGACTCTTCGGATGTCCGAGACATGTTCGAGACATGCGATGAGGATCGGCTTAGCTGAGGCCAGATGGATGTGGCTCAAACAAGAAGACATATTTCTAAAGATCCACAGCTGTTCGATGTCACATAAGGTTGTATGTTCTATGCATTTACACATTTTAAGTGATATTGGATCCCTAGACATTGCCTTTCAGTGGTTGTGGACGCCATCCTATGTTTGAGCCATTTCATTCCAATTAGGTTAGATATCCTGCTAGCTTCGAACTGCGCTTTTAGCGCATTTCGGCCTCGGATGGAGTGATTCACGTGAAATGTTTGTCGCTCTGGAGACAAACGGCAAAACCATTTGCTCCATATTGGCTTTGGGATGCCTTGCGTATTCCGTGTGCAAGCATCGACAGATCCTTTTGCTCGGTGTGCTAGGTGGGAATCATCCTTTCAAACATGTTGTTTACATGTGATCTTGGAGGCCATTTATAGTAGCAATGTTCGCTACTAGGAGCAAAGGGCATCGCTACTAGGAGCAAGAACGCTACTGGGGGCTCCTGGCCGTACTACTAGGAGCAAATAGCTGCTAGTAGCAAGAAGCTGCTAGGTTGGAGGCCATTACTAGACACAATGGCCCTCAAGAGTTCCACCAGCTGGAGGTTCCGCAGAGATTTGTTCACCCGCGACGCACGTTCCTAGCAACACGTTCCTTCCGACGCCTATCAGATGAGGCAGTAGGTGGGTAACTTGGACAGATGTGCCAGATGGTTCACAGTGGTGCCAAGTGGAAGAGGGAGCAATGCCATTTTCTCTTGGAACGACGTTTGACTCCGTCCATTTGTACAAATGCATAGCGACCGCAGCTACCCCGTGGCAGATCCCTACCGCAGCTACACACTGGAGAGCGACCTGTTCTTTGGGTCCTGAAATGGGAGTCGTCCCAGCTCAAACGGTGGAGAGTTGACCAGTCGCCAGCGGCTCTTCTCGACAACTGGGCGACCTGGGTAGATCACAGCCGCGACCTGTGAAAACGCGACCTCCGAGCCGGAAGGAAACCCTCAAGGACATAAACTACTATTAA